CGAGTATGGAAGATCACTGAGGACTATCGCTGATACAGGGCTGTGTCCATCCCTTCTTTCTGAACAGCAGGGACCATCACGTCTAGCTCCAACTTCCATGCCTTAGAACGCTGCTTTGAGCTATTTGGGGGTGTTGATATGGCAGCCCTTAGACCAGGGGTGTCAAATACACAGCCCACAGGCCAGATCAGGAAACGGTGAGGGACAGGCCCATGCCACCCCACCTCCAGCCCATCTGAGCCACTCCCACCCCAGGCCCCCAAGGGCAAATAAAATCCTGATACAGCTGACGATGGGATCGAGTTTGACTCCCTACTTTACACCATCTAACAGAAATCAACATGGGCCCGTGAGCTACCAGGGAGGCAATTCAAGAAAAGAGAAGGTCCGCCATGAAGTTCCTTTCCTCAACTTTCCACAGATCAAGAGCCAGCAAAAAGGACAAGCACTACACCTGTGGTAGAACCAACAATGGCTGTGTTTTGATCCACTGCCTCCAGGAACTGGCCAATGACCAGTGGGATGCTCTGGATACGTTTCACCTCCTCCTGAGCATGCAGGAATTCTTTTTTAAGATTTTTCTGCTCATCCTTGATGTATTCTTCCTGGACCTCCAGGAATTCCAGCTCTTGCTGGAGTTTCTACAAAAAGACAAAGAAAAGTGCAGCTTTTGTTGCGCCTGAATAATTCCCGCTTATAAAACGAAGCAAGGACAAGAGATAAGCAACCACATCATGACTTCCTGCTGAATATGTGTACCAGGTAGTATATTCCCCCTACTTGAATACCAGAAAAGTATGGGAAATGTACATTTTGAAATAACTTAATTGTATTCATTATTTTTGAAACAGTGGTTATATTTGTTTTTAAAATTCAAGGGGCATTCACAACTAAGAGTAGAGCTTTATGTTTGTAATACAAAAAAAACAGAGCGAGACAAAAAAAATGGAAGAAAGGTGCAGGAAAAACAAACGAAATGCTAGTTAAGGCGCACTTTGAAGTAGTACACTTTTACGGGGGGTGAGGGGGGGGGGAACTGCAGTTATTTTCCCTGGTTTTTCCTGCCATAATGCTTTTCTTGGAGGAAAAGAGAGCAACAAACTTAGTAGTTCATTGTTCCGGAAGGCTAATAGCAAGAGCTAGAGCAAAAGTTATCAGACATAATACAAAAGATACAGAAGATATCAGACATAAAGAAGGAACTAAAGTGAGACCCTTGAATAAAATTCTACAGAGATCTATTTTTTTATATATTTACGGTATCCAGTTTGCTACACTTTATCAATCATACTGTACTTGAAACCAGGAGGCTACAAGTTCTAATTCTTAGGCATACAAGTCAATTGGGTGATGTCGGGCTAGTCATTCTCTCTCAGTCCAACCCACTTTACTGGGATGCTGTTAAAATAGACAGAAAAAGCATGATGTAGACTGCTTTGAGAGTTGCACAACATAAATGTAGGATATAAAATTAATAAATAATTTACTTCTTTTCTGTTTTATTTTTCCAATGTCTTTTGAACACAGACATAGTTGTAGACCAGGGGTTTCAAACTGGCTACCCACAGGCCCGATGTGTCATGCACAGGCCATGCCCACCCCAGCTCCGCGAAGGGGAAAAACATCGTGATACGTCACGTGACGTCGCAAGTTTGACACCCGTGTTGTAGTCTGACAAATATAAAATGCAAATTAGAAACAATAACACTCTTCAGCACTGCTAAACCATAGTAGTATGAAGATCAGCTCACTTTATATCGGCTATATAGATCCTCGACATCCTCAGCTTCAGGAACTAGGAAGGAGAGGCCAGTCTGAGGTCTGGAAATAGAGAGAGCAGGAAGCTCATCCTATAAATTAAAACACAGATTAGATATAAATAACTTGGATATAGAATATAGAATATCCCCCATTTTCTACATTTCATATAGTATGAATGATAAAGACCTGGAATTGCACAATATTCTGAGGCCAAAAAAATCCCAAAAAAGGAAACCAAAATAGGAGCAAAAAAACAAGTTTAACTTATACAATTGAATGTATTTGATCTTTATCTGACTTATTGAGGTGAATTGTATGCATCTAAAAAGAATGTGTACTTCATTTAAATTGCTTAAGGCTGATAAGGTTAACATTTCAAAATCAATACGTAGCACATGGTTTACTAAATTTGTGCAAATTTTTTATTTAGGATAGGGATAGCCGAAAGAAAGTTTCAACCATCTGTTTTGAGCAACACTTTTAACATCCAATATCAGCATCTATTAAACCACAGGGAGTTGTGGCTTCGTTACTTATCAGTTTTAGCAATCATAGTTGTTGCCAAAAAAAAGCAAACATTTCAGATGATTGAAGTTACTTACATGCCCATTCATTTGTGCAAAATCAGTAAAATTAATATAGGCCTAAGGCTTATGTAGTTTATGGCTTATGTAAGGAGAGAAATAAAGGATGCCGTGTATTTCTATAAAACATGACCTGTATATAAACAAAGTATGCCACATATAAAGTATGCCATGTATTTCTAACATTTAATCAGCTGACATTTACTGTTATCTTGAAGGACACATTCCATGTTAGAAATACATGGCACACTTTATTTCTCTCCTTACATTAAGCACAAACTCCAAAGCCTCAGGCTTATGTTCATTTTACTGATTAAGCCTTATTTCAAAATTTTGCACGTATGAATAGACATGTAATGAATTCCAACCTTTGTCAAACATTAGGATACATGCCAAAAGAACTGAGTGGGAAACAGGCAACACTAACAAACTAGATGTACCCAAAGGACCGTCCTTGGAATTCCTTTAAACCCCGAAGCCTAATTGGATAAAAGCTCCAACAGATAAAGTATTTAGCACTCTTTATTAAGTTTGCTCTTATCCCTACTTGTAGTGCAACCCTTATTTATCATCCAATAGATGGCTTTCTGAAGTCTCAATAGAATATTGGCGTAAGCTTCAGTGAAAAAGAGAATAATTTCCCAGAAAATGGTGAAAACTGAGATAAAGTAGTTGGTATAGGCCTGGAAACCAGTAGATCAGGGGTGTCAAACTTGATTTCATCGAGGGTCAGGGTTGTGTTTGACCTTGGGGGCTGGATGGGTGTGGCCAGGGTGGGCATGGCCAGTTCAATGTCACTTGTGTCAGAGGTGGTGGGGGGTGCCTTGTGGTGGCCCGAGCACTCTGCCAGTGAAAACAGAATTTAGGAGGGGCGGTTGCAGGAGGCCGTCGCAGCCACCTGAGCTCAGTTTTCGCTGGTAGAAGAATCACAGGCCAGTCCTTCGCTGTTTCCAGGGTGGCACCACAGGCCAGATCTAAGCACCTCATGGGCCGGATCTGGCCCCTGGGCCTTGAGTTTGATACCACTGCAGTAGACTTTAGTTCTAATCCTTCCATAGGCACAAAAGCTAGTTGGGGTGGGGGTGGGGATTTGATCCAGTCCACCCCCCCTCAGTAAACCCCAACTCAATGTTGTTGTGGCAAAAAAATAGAAGGCTGGAATACAGATAGATAGTCCTCTATTTACGACCACAATGTCACTGAGAAATCTGTTAAGTGAGTTTTGCCCCCATTTTACAACTTTTCTAGACGAATTTGTTAAGTGAATCACTGCAGTTGTTAGTTGAATCTGATTGTTGAATAAGATTGTTAAGCAAATCTGGCTTCCCTGTTACTTTGCTTGCCAGAAAGTTGCAAAAGGGGATAACGTGTTCCCAGGATGCTACGATTTTCATAAATATGAAACCAGCTGTCAACCATCCAAATGTAAATCATGTGACCAGGGGGACGCTGCAATGGTCATAAGTGTGAAAAACAGTCATAATTCCCCCTTTCCCCCCACTGGCAGTGTCACTAAATGAACTGTTGTAAGTCAAAGGCTACCTGTATCAGGTATCTTCAATGTCTGGAGTCATACACAAATTCAAATTCAAACATTTATTGTCAGAGAACATGTGTACAATGAGATTGGCTGAGCCTCCTTTTGTGCACCCCCCCAACACAATTCACAGTGAAAGACAGAAAATCCCTAACCCAGTGAATCCTACTAACACATACACAATCCTATTGCACCAATGTGAATTTATTGCACGTCGGGCAGCCCGCAAGTCACTCGTACTATGTTGTTGTTGTACGATTATTTTGCGTTCAGGAGTCTGATAAAAACTACTCTTCAGTCTGTTTGTGCCTACATAGGCAATCTCCGGCTGCCTATGTAGCAGAAATAAAAGTAGGATGACATAGTAACAAGATCTAGACTGATATGAAAACCCCTCAAAGCGTTCATAAGAGAATTACCGCAGGCAATCAAAATACAAATTAAGTACAATCCGCTCTCAGTTGCATAAATCAAAACACGCCTCAAAAACACGGCCCGAGAAGGAGGGAACCTGCCGGCGGCCGCGGCCTGCTCTCACCCCCGCTGCCAGGCCTACCCACAAGCGGTGACTCGGCATCTCTGCCTCCCTCGTCTTCGTCCTTCGGGCTCCCGGCGCGCTCCGCCGCCTCCTTCCCATGCCTCGCAAGCGGAAGGAAGAGGGCCAAATCGTCTCCCCCCGCGACTTCGCTTCTGCTCCCTCACGGCTCGCTCTTTTCCCCCCTTTCCCACCGCCCCCCGTACCTGAGTTTTCTCCACCAAGATGCCGATCTCCTCCATCTTTAATCCCCTCGACCGGAAACCAGGCTGGATTATACCGCTTCCGGTCACCCTCCCAGGCCGGAGCGGGGAGAGGCTCACGGGAGTTGTAGTCCTTTGGGGAGTGGGGGGGGCGTTGAAAAACCCGGCTTTGATGGACACCTCTCCCGCCGTTGCTCCCGCCCCCGATCAGAATAGGTAGCCTGGAGGGGAGAAGAACGCCAGAGTACTTCCTTCTAGGATGATTGACAGGTGGAAAAAGCAATCCTCTTCTCCCGGTCGGGATCTCCCGGCTTTCCTATTGGTTCCCTCGGGCGAGTTCTTAGCCGAAGCGCCGCCTTCTCTTTTCTTGGTTCTTTAAGCGCAGGTAGGCGGTTTGGGGTGCCCCAAAGCAGGTAAGGAAGAGCAGGCCCCCCTCCATCCTCATCCTCATCCTCCTCATGAGAGGCCAAGAAGGCGATGGAAGTGGCGGGTCTTCGTGCTAAAACCGCTTGGCCTTAACCGGGTCGGTGTGCGGCTTTGCCCTTCTTCCAAGAGCATCTCGGCTGCCTTCGCGGGGGGCCGCGTATAACGCCCGGAGACCCTCGTAAGAGGGGAGGGGGCTGAGGGAGCCAAGGGAAAGGAGACGGGCAAGGAGGGGCCGATGGAAAACCCACCTGCAGGGATCGGAGCTCCCCCCGGGAGGGATCTAAACCCAGAGCGCCTCGGTCCTGCCTGCAGCTTAGCTCCTGAAGCGGGTTCTTGGTTTATTTTGTAGCATTGATGTATAGTGTATATGTTCCAGGGTATATACAATAATATATGGTTTGCGTGATCTATCTATCTATCTATCTATCTACCTACCTACCTACCTACCTACCTACCTACCTACCTACCTATCTATCTATCTATCATCTATCTCACTCTATCCTTCTCCATCCATCCATCTATCCATCCCTCTCTCTATCCTTATCCATTCATCCGTCCGTCCATCTATCTATCCAGTATGTATAAATATCTTTATATGTATATGCGCACTCATATGCGCACACACTGCAAATCACTTCAGGCTAAACATAAAATGATAACTGTCAACTGTTGGTTTTGCATGTACATTAACTTAAAATAACTAAATCAGAAGCTAGCTATACATACCATATATGCATGTACATATTCCTGTCTGTGTGTACACAAGCTATACAAAATCCAAATTGTTGAAACGGCCACTAAGTAGAAATTTGGCTCTTTAGGTACTGTATGTCTTTGTGTGTGAATACATGTAATCACAGCCTGTTAAAATAAGTCAAAAATTTGCTATACATATGTTACCTCTATGTGTGTATGTGTGTGCACACACATAGATATAATCACTGTAAGCAATTGCAACAATAACTAAATCAAATCCTCTTGAAAGGATACAGTAGCCAACCTATATATTGCATAGTCATTTAAACTGTTAAAATGGTAACTATGTCAAAAATTGGCTGGATATACACTACAGATACATATAAACAATCACTAAGGGTCAAACTATAAAAAGGATATCTATAAGGCAAACACGTGTGCAAGTAGAGAATAGATACCATCTGCTGGAGATCATTTGGATTCTTGCTCTGCAGCTTAAAAGGTTTCTTCCATGTGTTTACATGTGTGAATTTAAAAATATTTATATGCTACTTTCTTCCTGAAAGCTTATTTTATTTACTATCTTAATGTTATGTTAATTTTATTCCAGGGAGATCAATCATGTATTGGGTATATTCATATATGTTAAAGATACGTCTTTAAAATGAATGTAATATGCTTAACCTGATTAATTATACACTTGGTAGTTCATTTCCACAACAGGTAATTCTTAGAAAGTTTTAATCATCATTCTTTGCACATCAGTGAACCCTAGTTAAGTCAGCTTATGCTTTAATGCAGGGGTGTCCAACCTTGGTAACTTTAAGACTTGTGGACTTCAACTCCCAGAATTCCTCAGCCAGC